TTTCCATCAAGCCCCATCTACGTCACGAAACTCGTGACAACATCTAAAAATTTTCTCGTTTCCCGAAATCTCTTCGGCTTCGTCCTAAAGGTCACCTAACTCTTCGGAATCACGTCATTGTCTTCGGAACTTCATTCCAGAGATAGCGACGTATTTCCGAAGAATTAGATAATCCATAGGACGAAACCGAAGAGATTTCGGGAAACGAGAAAATTTTTAGGTGTCCCAGAATTTATGAAAATAAGCAAATGGATTAAAATTTATAAGACAAAATTGCGTCATATATTTTAGGTTTCGGCTTTTGATTCGGATTACGGCATAAATTATGGCTTGCGGCTTTATTTTTATCGAAAAATTGGTGCCTAAATACTTTCGGCAGCAATGTTGGACGATGACTTATATGACTTACATGATTTGTCGTATTACAATCTTATGAAGTGCCATATATGCATGATTCTTCATATGACATGGTGATTTATATGATTCTATAACATATGAGTGCCGCCAAGGGAAAACCTACAAGTCGTACTTTTTGAATTTTTAATATTCAAAAAGTACGGCTTGTAGGTTTTCCCTTGGCGCACTCACATGACATACTATATTGTCATCGTCCAACACTGTTCGGCGAGGATTGGCTAACGTGAGGTCAAATTAGCTCAAGGTTGCAAGCATAGGTTATGTGTTTATAAAAGATTCGGATTTAATGAATGAGTTATTAAGGAATGTATTTTAGTTAGTATACGATATAATAAGTCTATTATTCAAATTCAACGACAAATATTAAAGAACTAACCTTATAAAGAATTTTTAGCAGACAAACTAGTTCTTTTTTTTTCGTGAACTTAAAGACAATATAATATTAAAGTAATTTTAATGAGCTTGGAACTTTTTGTCTGTGAATATAAAAACGATATGAAGATTTTAGTGAACTTGATTATTTTTTTTTCTTTATAAATGTAAAATATAATATTAATCAAGGTTTTCTTTTAGCGAATATAAAACTCAACATAATTATTTTTCAATTGGTGAAAATTATAGAATGATTAATGATTGACAAAATCCGTGAATGATGCAAAACTTAATTTTCTTGTTGCCACTACTATAACAATTTTTTTTCGTAGCTTGTGAATAAGATGAGCGCTGCAAAAAGAAAACCAGACTACAGGCTTTAAAATTTATAATTTATCGAACAAATCTAGCTTAATTTCGTAGCAGGTAGTATATGTCACCAGTCAGAATTGTTCAGAGGTTAGTTCTGATAAATTATAAAATTTAAAGCCTGTTGTCTGATTTTAAAGAACCTACTATAAATTATCTTAGCAATTGTCAATAGACTGCTATTTAAAAAGTGCATGTAAGTATTTAATTCGAATCAAGGAAGTTGTTCTTGGACGCCAATATTTTGAATGAATTCATCATAAGGAAGTTTAAAAGTATTAATACAGAATTATAATACGGCATCATAGCTTATTTATGGCACATTGGATCATACGTATAAGTTTTCCGCTATTGTAACCGTAATTGCTGTGTGCCGTTAATAACTCATTGGGACGAAATTATATCCAATGCTATCGATACTGGACGTGACACTGAGTATAAGTTGCTCCTGATATTGGGTATGATCTGATTCCAATACTAAGTGTGTGCTTTCCCGATACTGGATATGAGTTGTTTCATAAGGATTAATATTAAATCTAATATTTTGTCTGTGACTTTGGTCCACGTTTGTTACCCGAAATATAAATGCAGAATCGATTGTATTTTCTACAATTTTGTACAGATATTTTCCATGTCTCCATTAACGATTTACACACGCGAGAATCGAATTAATACGTGCTTGTTCTTTGTTGTTGCATTATTCAAAATAACTTCTAATGATTATTTCGAATTTGTCAATTTGATAGTTTTGGCGAGGTGGAGCTATGATAGTTTTGGCAAGGTGGAGTTACAGAACGACGATGATAGTTTTGGCGAGAAGTAGATTGACGACTTCTATGCACATAAAAATAGTCAATGATAAGGCGAATTTTATGAAGTTTACAATATATCCTTGATTCGTGAAAATGTATATTATATATACATAAAAGTGCCGTTCGAAACTAAGACATCGATAATTTGACGGTGGATGCGATATGAAAATTGATAATTTGACATTTATATCATATAATGGTAGATGTTAAAATTCGATACAAATATCGATAAATTGAAATTTATATCACGGTGCGATAGCGGAGAATAATGAGGTATTTCCTCGGATTTTTCTGCTCTGATAGGAGCCAAAGAGAAAAATCCGGGGAAATAATTGACTATTATTTCCCTGTAGCAGGAATAAATGCGTTATTCTCCCGTTTTTTAATTGACAGCTGGAGGCCATTTCCCTACTGAGTTTAAATTTAAGTCATTGCCAAAATAACATATAAATCACGGAAATCATTTTCTTTCTGAATTTTCCGAAACCTTTACATCTCTATTTCTTAATTCCGCGGAGGTGATGGGGAAAACTAAAGGGAAGGTAATGGAAGCCACTGAATCAAATTGGTCTCTTCTTATTTATATCCTGATTTTTCTATATATGAGAACTTTGATGAGATAAAATGCGCATCCTCATACGCATGCACTGTTACGGGGTGAATTGTATCCTTTTGATATGATAAACACGAAAATATGTAATTTTAGGTGATAAGGCAACTCGCCAGAGGCGTGACGATGGTGATTTGACAATAATTTAATTTTAAATTAATTTATCAATGTGATTTATTCAATATTATATATTAGGAATATCAGGGAAATTACAGAGCTTTTATAACTTTCGCTAAACTAATAAACTAAAGAGGCTTAGGGATAAATCGGATCTTTCATCACGAAAGAATCAAGGAGAAATCACTATAATTAAGGGGCTTACAATGATAAGTACTACATGATTATAATAATGAAGGCTTTGCCTTTACAATATTTCATATTGTTAACTACTTCTAACTAATTCTTGATTCTCGGTTTCTTCTCTTTAGATTTCTTGAATTTCAGTCTTTCTTCTTTACGCGTTCAGGTTCTTCGGATTTCGCGTTGGTTATGAGGCTAATTCGGCCGATAAGTCATACTCAATCTAAGCCTTGAGTTAAATTACCAATCTGTTTATCAGTTTATTTCGGCTGATAAGCCTCAACCGATAAACCAGTATTCTTGGATTCCTCTTCGATCACGGGTTTACTACGCCAAATTCGTCGATCTACCTTTTAGCCCGTAACTCATCTCTAGGGACGTCATAAGAATTCTCTTTATTATTATTAGGAAGAGGTCAAAAGGGCATACAGCTTCTAACATTGGGATGGAGAGCTAGCATTTGTATACGTGCGCGGGTATCATGGAAGGGCATCGTATAATCCAACGATCTACTCGAAGTCATCCTGAATATGGATCAACTAAGGACTTAACTTTATTATCGATAACCATATCAGGAAACCTGTACATCTCAAAAAAAGTATAAGACCGATTTACACGAATTGATCGTAGCACTGTTGCCATCTGGTAAGTAAAAAGATCATTTATTAATCAGTGGAATTAAAAATTGGCAAAACGTTTACAAGTTGGATCCTAAAACCCACTTGCCATTACATGCAGATCATTCATTCACATTGATTTGGCCAGTGAATAAAAAGGTCAGTGGAATTAAAATCGGCAAACGAGTTCACAATTTAAGTTCATAAATACTTACCAACTTTTAGCTTCACCGGTTTTGTTTCTGTTAGTTTTGTCAATTTTTAGCTTCGCCAGTTTCGCCATATTTCACCATATTGCGCTAGTTTTCTCTATGTTTCGCCAATTTCGTCATTTCGCCTTTTTGAAATTTTTGCCGAAAGTCGAAACTAGGGTTCCGACATTTCTCCAGCGCGAAACTCCAAGATTTCGCTTAACAACACTATCAAATGTTGAAGATAAATCAATAACTGTATCTACCACTACATCTAAAATATTTGTAGGTTGGCAGGATGACCAGACAAGTAAATTGTAAATGCATCATCTTTCATACGCATTAACCAATATTTTGACTAAACAAATTTATGAAAATTTACATAACAATAATTATTGTTCTAACTCATATACAAAAGTCATAACATTTGGCTAAGAGATCATTGTAAATGTTCAGAATGTTTTCATCAAATTACCAAGCAGCGACTGCTTGATACATTTTCGGTAATCTTTTTATATAATTCTCAATCTTTCATTATATATCCAAAGATTTTATAAAGTTATTTTACATCTATGCATATATATAGATCCCGGAAAACATAAAAGCAATATACATGTCACCTGGTCCAGATGGCGTTGAAATTAAATGCATGTATTATTACTATATAATGTAGTCGTAAAGTCTTTAATTAAAATATTTTTTTGCTTCTATAGGGAATGATGGGCATACAAGTTTTTTTAATTGGAGTTGGCTTAGAAGACATTCTTACGATCCTAAATTTATCGACACTCACAAAATTTTAAATGTGCAAGTATCATTAATCATTATGTTATTACATCGCATCTTGAATAAGTTCAATTCATATTCATATAATTATACAGTAGGAAGACTTTATGGAATGCAGGAATCAAAGATTGTCCGCCAATCGTTCAATACATTGATGTTATTATTAAGCTTCACATCTCATAACATTGAAATTGTGGTTATATGAATATGAAAGTTTTATCTACATTTTATATTAGGTTATGAAAACAAAAGAAGGGTTAGCAAGTTTGCTTAAGAACATTGTATGCGCATTTTTATTTTAATGCCTCTTATTTATAATTGAATTTGATTTTAATTATTTATTTTAAATACAGAATGAATTTGGTTTTAGCTTTATTGATGGTGTTCCACATGCAGTCAAGGAAACAGAAGAATTAGCGAGACAAATCTGTTTTATTCGTGAAACGCATTATGGTATTTTATTCAAACAAATCATTCATTTTTTTTTTCCCCTGTTTACTCAACATAAAATAATTCCGATTATAGGCAGTTTTTGGGATTTCAGGGCAGATTTAGAACACGGAGATACAGCATATACTAACCTTCCTTTAAGAGCACATACAGATAATACGTATTTTACGGATCCATCAGGGTATGTTACGATGTACACCTAACTGATCCGAAATGTTAATATTGCTAGTAAGATTAAACTATGTTTAGTCTTCAAATGTTTCATTTGATAGAATTTAATGGAGAAGGTGGTTCTTCATTACTAGTGGACGGTTTTTATGTAGCTCGTCAGTTAAAAATGAAATCACCTACCGCCTACGAAACTCTTTCTACCATTACAATTCCAGCACACTCTGCAGGTGATCCAAATACATTAATTCAGCCAACTCCTAATGGATATCCTATTTTAAATCATGATCCTTTGTTAGACAATTCTCTTTATCAAATTCGTTACAATAATGATGATCGATCTACAATGAATCATTTAGAACCAGATCAAGTTTTGGAATTTTACGATGCTCTAAGAAAATGGAATAGTTTATTAAAAGATAAATCTAATGAATATTGGTTTCAATTAAAGCCAGGAAGAGCTGTTATCTTTGATAATTGGAGAGTATTACATGGTAGAGATAAATATAGTGGGCATAGAAGATTAATAGGATGTTATCTGAATTGGGATGATTATCAAAGTAGATTAAAAGTTTCTTATTTAAGTCAAGAAGAAATTTTGGAGAGTTTGTAGGGACCTTATCCTATATTATAATAAAGCGGGGCGCCGGTGGCGCCCCTGATGTACTACTTGTGTTAAATGGTATCTATTGGATCATATATTCATAATTATAAGTTGATGCCCTTCACATAATTCTATAATTATCAATCTCTCAATTTGAATGGTTATTTCTAGATTATTGTTTTATATTTAAATGTAAATAATTTTATGCTCACCGATTAATTAATGAGAATAAATAGTAAAGATTCATGAAGAGAATAGCTCATTTTAAATACTAAGATTAATAAATGTTCTACACTACCGCAAATAAAATAAAATAAAATCCAACAGTAAATATTAGTGTTATTCGGAATTAGCTTATTTCGAAAATAAGTGAGTTTAAAAAATCCCATTTCTGTTTTGAAATTCCAAAATCAGAAACGAAATAGGTGTATTTTTCTAATGATATTATACAGTATTATTATCATATAAAAAAAAATATAAGTTATAAATTACTTATTTCAAAACAAATACGCCACTAATTTAATTCGAAATCAGAAAACCGTGAACATTAATTCTGAACCACCTTTTCATGAAATTATCCTAAATACTTAAGAATTATTCTTTTTATACTTACAATTTTAAGATTTTGCAGAGTAAACATTCAGAAGTCGATTAAATTTTAAATATTCAAATTAATAAATTTTAACATGAAAATTAACGCGAATAAGATCAAACTAAATCGTAAATATATGAACCCGAGTAGCTTATTTTAAAATACTTAGATTAATAGATGTTTTTTATATTCATATGCTAAATCAGTGCGATTAAATAATAAATATTTATGAACTTATCTTACCGACTAAATTAATGTGAAATAAAATAAATCAAGTAGTAAAATGTTTTAAGAACTTGTATATTTCAAACCAATAATGTGCTTCATACTCACTACTAAATTATTACAAAAATTAAATAGTAGATATTGTAACCATCGTATGTGAGAGCTTGGTACTTCATGCCGAGTTCACGCTTTAGATTATATATTTACTTCAAGGCGCAATGTTTACAATTGTATAATCGTAATTATCGCGTATTCGCGGTTGCATGTATTAAGCCCGAAAAAAGCATTATAATGCCAGGTAAGATTAATATGGCTATGATAATACAGATACAATTATGGAATGTAAGTGACAAAGAATTAGACAAATACGGAAACGGGAGACACAGGAAAAATAAATCGTTGCAATATTCATAAAATCGAATAGCTTATTTTAAATACCTAGATTAATAAATGTTCTTTATACAGTACTCGCAAATTAAATCATTGTGGATAATAGTAAATCAATATTCGTGTACTTAGAGTAATATACGTTCTTTATGTTCGTGAACTAAATTACCACGAATAAAAATTGTCGCGACTGAAGCTGGAAATTAGGGACCTTTATTTATAAACACTACAAAAATCCATTTATACTCTTTTATTATTAAAACTACCTCTAAACCAAAATTTACCCGTTAGGGTGTTCAGCATTCTAATATAGGGGTACATTATGTTCGGATTTCTTGAAGGTAGATTTCGTTTATGGAATTTACATATTCTCACTTATTTAGGTACGCTTTTTTACCTACCTGACAAACAAAATTGTATCTATTACAGTACAGTATGGAGCTAAACTAGGGCTATCCCTTAAACCAGTGTTGTACATGGACATATGTCCAAGCAAATTATTGGACATGGACAGTCCATGGACACAATGTCCAATGTCCA